ACTAAGGTGATCAATATTGAAGCTAAGTGTCGAGTACTAAGGAGGTGGGAGGGGAAGTCAATCGACAAGGTTGTGAAATCATATCATTTGAGATGGTGTTAGGGTATGTTTCAGTCATGTTGCGTCGGTGGCACAGTGGTTAGGACTCTCGCCGACTATGTACATGGTCCGAGGTTCGATCCCCTACCGACGCACACTTCATGTTTGGGCTATCAATATCCATGCTGAAAATTCCATACTTGTACCAAAAATACAGTGTGGAATCAAGCTGCAATCAAAAATAAAAATTAATAAATAGCCATCTCCTTTCTCGACGGTCAGTGCTAGTTCACTGAAATAGGATCAGATTGGGAAAGAGAAAGCTCCGTCTGTTTGTCTGGATTCAACATAGAACTTCTCACCGAAGTGCACCAGTTCAACGTGCCACGTTCCAAATATCACACAAAGGTAGACAAGAAGATGAGTGAAGAGAATCAATAGAGTTTGACAAGTATAAAAGTGAAATAGAATGGGTAATGGTAGAGAGGAATATGAAAGATTACAGAGACTGAATACATCTTCGCTGGCCATTGACAACGATCACTTTGAGCCATGTCACTCACCTATTGTCTCCAGCCATTGGTTCCTAGAGTCAGTCCCGAGGGCCCCAACCCGGGAGTCTGCATCTCCCTACCTGACCGACTCAGTTTAACTGTCGAGGATTTCATGGATTGATGAGGCCATGTTTTTGTTTGGCCATCACTTACTCTTTTCCAACCTGCACCTATATCAGCTAGCAATGCCCGTCGGGGGAGGCGGTGGTTAGGCATGGGCAGAACGTGACCTAGCCATCTCAATCTATGTAACTTTACAGCCTCGTCGATTGATTTTCCCTGTTTGCCCAACACTCTACTCCTAACGTCAACATTACTTAACTTGTTAAACCACCTAACGTGAGACAGGGATCATAGACATCTATGATCGAAAGCAGTCAACCTTTTCATGTCTTCAACTCGTATTGGCTATGTTTCAGAGTCATAGAGAAGGACGGAGCGAACTGGTGAGCAGTACACACGTCCCTTGGTTGATGGCAGGATGTCACGCCTACGCCAGATATTAGTGATTTTTTGGCTTCTGTCGTTTGTAGTGGACACAGTGAAGAGGGAGTGAGGAGCCATCAAGTAGAGGAGTTGCATCAGTGGGAGGAAGGCAAGGTAACAGAGATGAAGATGAAGACAAAGATAAGTGAGGATTAGAGAGGTTTTGTGTACATTTCGGATTGTGAGGGCGTTTCTTACTTCCCGGCTGCCCACACCGTGGAAGTTGGTTGCGTGACCGCAGAGCCCAGGGGACAACTGCTTGAGGCCGGTCACACGCGGCCTGTTTTTGCTTGTTCTCTTTTGTTTGGTATGTCTCAGCAGCATACTTATCACTCCTGCCCTGTGACACGGCAGCAGGAAGCGCGGTCGTTGTTAATCCGGGCCACGGCCGATCCGGCATGATATTTTGTGAATTTGAGAAAGCTAGTGTTGGTCAAATCAAAACATGGGCTCATCAGTCAATGAAATTCACAACAGTTAGTTGTAGCCATACAGACACGTAGAGAGGTGTAGACTTCCTGACTGACTGGTTAAGGTCCTCGGAATGGTAAGTAAAAACCAATGTGTGAAGGTTAATGACAATTGGCGATATTACTCAGAGTGATCGTTGTTAATGGCTGGCTGGCGCAGATGCATTCGGTCTTTGTGATTTGCCAGTCATAGTCAATAAAACTCTATTGGTCTGTATTGGTGCCTGCGTTCTATCTCCCGTGTTAGGTGGTATAATAAGGTGAGCAATACTGAGATTAGGTATCGGTCGAGTGCGCTAGGTAAGGAGGGGAAATCAATCGACGAAGTCGTGAAGTTACAAAGACTGAGATGGTTAGGACATGTGTTACGTATGCTCAGCCTAGTCATCGCCTTCCTCGACGAGCAATGTTGGTGGATACAGGGTCAGGCTGGAAAAGAGCTTGTGGAGGTCAAACAAAAACATGGCTGCACCAGTCAATGAAATCTACAACAGTTAGTCTAATCCATGTAAGAAGGTGTAGACTTCCAGGCTGGTTGGGGTCCTCGGGACGGTAAAAACCAATGATTGGAAACAATTGGGTTATATGCCTCGAAACCGTTCTCAATGGCTGGCTGGCGCAGATTCATCTACTCCCTGTGACTTATAATTTCCAATATAACTATGTTGTTCTTCGTTACTACTACTATTCCTTTGTCTCACACCTCTGTTTACTGTCTGTATTATGCATTTCTTCTACTTTCTTCTGTTGCTTTGTGTGCTACACGGAGTGTGGCGACTTGAACTTCCGCACATTAGTGCAGAGTTCTATGTCGAAAACAGACAGACAGATTGGTCTTCCATATCACTGTTATTTTTCCCTCGCTAACACTTCTGTTTGTTGTCTTTTTTTTCAACATCCCTTCTCTCTCTCTCTCTCTTCTTTTACTTTTTGTGTGCTACATGGAGTTTTGAGTCTGGCAAGTAGAACGAACAGCTGAATCATTGTTAACTGCAGGTAATTAGGTGTATTTCTCAGACAAGCCGCAGTTTGTTCACCCATGATTTTGCTTTTTCTATCAGTGTATCAGTAAAAGATGCGAGACTTTGGTGATGGGAATTTGTTATCTTTATGATACTTCTGGGCCGCCCTTCATATTGTTGTGTTTCTCTGTTTTCCTTTCACGTCTTCCATTGTATCTGTGCAATGGTGAATCATTTGCTTCCTCTTTTTTTCTATGTCATGTTCTTATGTCGATGACCGTTTCTTCATATACTACTGATAAAATCATATCAGCAATATACTCCACAGTGTAGCATTTTGCAAATCAGCAGGTTGCAGACATTTTCAATACTCGTCAGAGTAGAAGACACCATTAGAGGTTGCGATTTTCCTTGGTACTACTTAGTTTTTGTGCTCTATTACAGAAAGTGAGGCATATATGAGAAGCTTTGAAACTTAATAATTAGGAAAATGTAAAATTAAAACTAATAATAATGATAGCAGTGATAGTGATAATAGTAATATTATTATTATTATTAATGACGACATGCATGTCAAACATGCACAGAATGATGACAACACCAACAATAAGGAATCTAAATCATCAGTAGTAATTCCATACAAGGAAGAAAATCTTACGCAGAATTCTTAACAAGGCAGGCAGGCAGGAATAAAACTGACTGGCATTCAAACAAACTACACACTCAATTAGAAACAAGCTTTGTCGGTTAAAGGATCAATCCTGAAAGTCGAGCCTTTAAAACAAAACAATTTAGTTTATCTAATACCCTGCCTGCAATGATTGTCAGGTCAAACACATATATACGTCAGAGTAGTAGAGCAGGGGCAGTCAGACTAGCGGAGCGTAAATACCTAGCAGTAAAATCTAGATTAGTTGATCCGAATAGGATAAGAAATCTACGGAATAGTTCAGCTATAGCACTCACTACATGCAATTACACACAACCATACAATAGGATGATGGGATAAGGTGGCAGTTTTAAAATCTAATTTAACAGCATGGTGGAGGGAGAGATTGATAACAGAAGCTTTGTTTATCGAATCAACTGGGAGAGAATACATGTAATAGGAATGATTCAACACCTGTCCTGGCGGATATCTGGAAAATTCTACTACCCTAACTACGAAAAATAGGAGAGAACAAAGAAGACTATAAAACTCAAGTTTCGAAGTCGTGTGATTATAATTGATTGGTATGATTATGAACAATGATGAATTGTGTTCAAAACTCTGTCATCCAGTAAATAGCAATACTGTTTCACTGACTGTTTGATGCATCTAATAAACAAACTAATATGGAATTCCTTACTACCACAGTGCCCTAGTTTACACATGTATTGACACTAAGTTTCATATTGTTTTTTTTTACTAATTTTATTTGTATATGTCTGGATGGCCTGCTTAAAACTTGAGGTGCCGACAAACTTCCATCAGTCTATGGCATATATAATTTCTCTTGTTCAGTTTGTTTATAGCCAACAAAATACAGCATCTAATAGTATTCACTGTTTACTCTTGCGATTATGTAAAAATTTACAACTTGGTGATTCTCAGGTTTCTCCTAAACATGAGTTGAAAAAGCATAATCCTGCATGGCAACGTATCTCAATTCATGAGATGACTGTTCCTGAATTGTGTCTTTACTTCACTAAAATGTACACCTGAACTTTTTATAACTGGAATTCAACCAAATGTCGCCGTGTATTCCGCAAAAGTGAGGGAGAAGAAGAGATTTCACATAATGGAATTGGTTTGAGCTTCAGGTCAGATGGATCTATGTCACACGACCTGCTGTCATCAATTAATCTTTAATTTGAAGATCCTGGATGAAGAGAAAATATCACACGATAAACTCCTCTGAAGATTCTGCACACTATATGTAAACACTATTCGGAATAAAGCTGTTATTATTATTATTATTTTCTATAGTTCGTTTGTAAGGATTAGTTTTGTTTTTACGAGTTGATCACGGATTGATATCAGTTTGACAACCATTGAAAACCACTACCAGGGAGTACTGGACAGCTGTTTCCTCCTAGTTCGGGAATCATTGGCAGTACACACCCACTTCACGAGGGGTTCGAACCCAGGACCTATCGGTTACGAGGCAAGATCGTGTGCCATTCAGACACTGGGACCCGATTCAGTGGCCAACTCATGAATTCTAACTTCTACCGATTCGTGATATATTTAGCGCGACCCCAACCAATGTAGTCGGTGAGATATCTATCCTCACCCGTGACATCTTGATGGACCTCACTCCAGGAAACTCTATCCTGTAGCCAGCCAGTCACTAGTGGGCATCAGATTAATTTTCTATAGTTGTTTTGTAAGGGTTAGTTTTGTTTTTTATTATTTTTTATTATTATATACTTTGGTTCAATTCCCAACAGTGAATGATTGCTATCTACATATGTGTATCATTTGTTGTTTTACCTCCCTCCCATAGGCTCTCACTTTGGTTCAACCGAATCTGGCCAATTTAGTTTTAACCAAAGAACCAGAAGTTGTCAATTCCAATAATTATGGTCATAGTGCTAGTACAAGTACCGCTATAATTGGTAATCCCAGTTCCGTGAGTACTCCTAGTAGTAGTACTACTACGGTACAACACATTGGTGGACGAGATCGTGTAAAAATCATGTTAGATCAATCATCATTATCATCAACATCAGATTCGTTAATAGATCAGCCTATATTAATTACACCAATTCGTGCACTTAGCGCATCCGTATCTCGACGTAATCTCCACATTAAACCAGCACCGTTAATATCTCGGCTTATTGAACAAATTCACTTGGTATTAGATACAACTAATTGTTCATTGATGACACTGAAACACTTAGAGTGTAATCTACAATTACTTTATCGTAAAAGTATGATATTAACAAATTTATTGATTAAAGAAGGTGCTCCCTTGCTTCAACGAATTGATCGAATGACAACTACTGTTGGGTAAGTTAATTATCATGGGTTTTATTATCTTCAAAATGTTAAATTTTTGTGCAATTAATTCTTCAAAGTACTCAATTCTTTCTTTTTCTGCTTTTCTCCCTCTTCATAAAAGTCATCCTACTACTTGACACTTATTATTATTGTTCCCTTAGATTCCCAGGGGTACATCGGGCTTCAAAATCACGTCATCACTGTGTCTTATTTCCTACGATTGCCCATAGTCTCTAAATCCCTTTCTCACATGACCTCCTCCATGTCACCATTACACTGACAACCCAATCGTCGAAGGGGTGACGGATGAGATTTTCAACCGTATAATGAAGGCTATGGTGGCATACATCAACTTGAGCCATCTATGGCGCCGTCGCAATGTTAGTCTGGCTGTCAAAGATCGGGTATACAATGCCTCTGTGCGGGCTGTCTTGCTCTACGCCTGTGAAACCTGGCCTCTCAAAGCTGAGGATATACGGCGACTGTGTGTGTTCGATCATCGCTGTCTCCTCAGGATTGCTTACCTCCGATGGCATCATCGCGTGAGTAATTCTGAGGTTGGGCGGCGTGTGTTTGAACACAGTGGAGATCACCATTCATTGAGTGTTGCCATCTGGAAACACCGGCTCCGGTGGCTTGGGCATAAGCTGGGAATGTCATCCCTGAGGTTTCCGTACAGTTCTCTGTTCGCTAGCCAGCCCTGGGACGGGATGGAAAAGGCGTAGAGGTGGTCAGTCCATGACGTGGCGTCGTTGGGATGAAGGATGTTTGTTCTAGATTAGCATCGGTTGGTGCTTCACGACTCCCTAGTTGGGGTCCGCGAAATAGCTCGAATCGATGGCTAGAAACGTTATCGGATATGGCCAAGAATCGTAATAAATGGCGAACGTGTTGGAATTTCCTTCTTTCTTCCCTTCCCGTTGATAATTAACGAATACTGTTTGAACTTGTTAAGTATGACTGTTTTCCTTCCATATGAAGTTCTTTATCCGTTCTCTACTTATATTTTTTACCTTTGATCTATGTTGTTTTATTATTATTGTGTGGCGCATCCTTCTTGGTGGCATATTGTACCAAGTATTTCCTGCGTTTAAATAAATAAATAAATAAAACTCGTCGTTTGCCATTGGGATTCCAGCCAAGTTATGGCCTGGCCCGCCATGTCACTTGACGGCTTCATTAGTGGTGTGTGCCTGATCCATCTCCATATTCTCCGACAAATTTGCTGAGCATTCGCCTCATACTCGGTTGGTTTGTTTCCAGCAAGAGTTTCTTGTTAATAATTCTTTCTGACTGTCCATTTAATCTTCAGTATGGCGCCATCGCGGGAGGTAGGTGTTGATAAAAGTTTGTAGTGGCTTGGTGGGAATGCTTTTCGTGACATGTGCGCAATATCGAGAATCCAAATCTTCTTGTTTCTGCTGGGTGAGTTAGTGCAGAAGATTTCCAAACTGGTCTTAGGTTGATGAAGGTGTATTTTACCTTTCTGTTATGGAGTGACTGAGTATAAATATAACTAACGAGATACAACGGACATTGCTTAGGTAGTTAACTTTCCTTAACCCGAAGAATGATTTAGAAGACTCACACGTTAACGAAGGATACATGTGCGTCGATAGTGCAACGTTTAGGACTGAATAAAACTCCCTCTGCGCCTGCTAATTGGTATTATGACGTTAATAAAATGGACTGGTATGCTAATAATATGCCTCTTTGTCCGTTACACCTTCCGATACACTGAGCCAATATATTAAATATCAAAAGTCATAAGAAAAAGAAGACGTAAATAGCGAAGAAGAAAATTTTCCCTTTTCAACGATTTATTTTCATAACCTCCAGTACAATCGTGAATTATATTTAACAAGGAAATCATGAGACCAATCAATTGGATACTGGTAAAACTTGTCCTGGAAAAGTGTATTACGTAATGTAAGGTGTAACCTAGGTGGAATGACTAGATGAAAGTTAGAATAAAGGGGCAAAAGCTAGCATGACATAATAAGTGTGAGATAATGACTAATCAATAAGCTCGTGTAGAATGGGAAAGGTGATAAAGTTTATATGCTGTGAGACTTGGCCATTGAGAGTGGGAGACTTGGAAAGATTAACTGCCTTCGATCATGGGTGCCTGCATTCTATCTTCCGTGTTAGGTGGTATAATAAGGTGAGCAATACTGAGATTAGGCATCGGTCGAGTGCGCTAGGTAAGGAGTGGAAATCGATCGACGAGGCTGTGAAATTACATCGATTGAGATGGTTAGGACATGTGTTGTGGGTGCCTAGTCCTCGCCTTCCTCGATGACAGGCAATGTTAGCTGCTATAGGGTCAGGCTGGAAAAGAGCTGACGGCGGTCAAACCAAAACATGGCTTCACCAGTCAATGAAATCCACACCAGTTAGTCTAAGCCACGTAGGAAGGTGTAGACTTCCTGACTGGTTGGGGTCCTCGGGACGGTAAAAACCAATGGCTGGCTGGCGCGGATGCATCCACTCCTTGTGGCTTATGACTTCCAATGAAACTATATTGCTCTTCGCTATTACTATTCTTTTTGTCTCACACCTCTGTTTACTGTCTCTATTATGCATTTCACCTTAACTTTTTTCTCTTGCTTTGTGTGCTGCATGGAGTGGAGTGTGGCGACTTGAACTGTTGTACATCTGTCGAACACAGACAGACAGATAAAGTGTTTTTATGTAAAATTGTATGAAAAAGCAATGTTATTAATAAACAGTAATAGAGAGATACTAAAATATGGATGATGGGAATAATAATAATGATAATGAAATAGCAGTAGTAATAACAATAGTGATAGTAAACTTACATAATAAAACGAAGAAGCAAAGTTATGGTAAGAACGTTATTCTGGCCACGGTAGGTCTAGTGAATATCAACAGACAAAGGCTGGCTGGCCTGTGACTGTAAGATACTGTACTGTACATTCATTTATTAAGAAAAACGACACATGATGTGTATACATTTCTACTACAATAAAATCGGCACACAGCTGCAAGAAATTATTGATCACACAAGTTACAATATGTGCATGGGAAAGGATGATATACTATTTCATGCGGGATCTTATCAATTAGATGGAGCATTATGAAATGTTAAATAACAAAAAAGTAACGACTCTATTATACCAGACAAACTGGAAGAGTATTTAATTGGTGGATAGATGGCATCTGAACAAAAAGCCGACATGTCAACCTGAGACCGAGGAGCACTTCGGTCCAATCAATCGATGGGAAAATTTCAAATTTAATAAAAATGGAAGAGTAATGTGAATTCTGTGAGTGAACCGGGTATTTGAACTTCTGCGAATAGACTGTGCGCCAGTGGCACAGCGGTTTTATCTCGTGCCGACGCACACCTGATATCAGTTAGTTTGCCTGCAAAATTTGGGCTACCGATGTCACATGCTGAGAATTACATACTTGTACCAAGAATACGTTGTGGAATCACGCTATAATAAGAAAAAACATAAAGACAATTAACTGTCACACAAGAGTGTGAATGAAATGAAAGTGTCAATCAATTGTGAAACCCTACAAGAGAATGGGTATCCACCAAGATCCATCGACAATAACATGAAGGTGAAGCCTCCGATGTCAAATATTACAACGGTTACTAAGAAGACTCTTCATGAACCTAGAATTCAAAGGTGATATCGCAGCGGAAATTCTCAGAAACCGCCTTTCAAAAAGTCTGAAGAAGACATTACCAACAGCCACTCTACGTGTAACAGTCTAACGTTAAGGACAAGATATCGCTTTAGGCCACTTCAATGTGTATTTATCAATTCACTTGCTCGTGTGGAGCAAAGTATGTCGGCCGTACACAACGTCAAGTCCACAAACGTATCCTGGAACACTGCCCAGCTTGGTTAACCAGAGGAGAAAAGAAGAATAGTAACAGCTCAATCCTCGAACACCTTGTTATCTCCGGACATCGAGCATCCCCACATGAATGCTTCACAGTGGTACACAGAGTCCCTCAATATCGTACAAAAGGACTCCGGATACGACATCTGTACACAGCTGAGGCATTAGCTATTCGTGACCTAAAACCCCGGACCTGTGCATACAAAAACGATACATACATTCTCTGGCCCTACCATGGCCAGAGTAAATTTCTTACCATAATTTTTCTCCTCTCTTTTAAAATGTAAGTTCACTATTATTATTATTGTTCTTAATACTTTTATTATTATTACTATTCCCATCATCCACATTTTATTACCACTCTATTACTGTTTATTAATAACATCGCTCTTTCACACAGATCTTATACAAAACTACCTTATAGCCTTTCCATTAGTTCCTGTCCATTCTACACTAGCTTATTGATTAGTCATTATCGCACACTTATTAATATTAGGTCATGCCAACTTCTGTCTCCTTTCTAACTTACAATTAGTCATCCCTTCTTACACCTCACATTATGTAGTGGAATTTTCAAGGACAAAGTTTACCAGTATCTGATTGGTCAAAAACTTATGTGTTTAATTATAATGACGATTGTACAGCTCATGAAAATGAATCGTCGCAAAGAAAATTTTCTTCGTTGTTTGTTGCCTTTTTCTTATGACTCAATACAAAAGTATAAGAAAATAACTTAACATACATTATCAGTTCATATAACTGTAAACACTGTGCGATTTATCAAAATAAAATCTTATCTATAATGGAATTATACTCTACCACAGTGCCCAAGTTTTATACTTATATTAACATACATTAACCAATAAGATAGTTTAGTAGTTTTTCTTACCGCCAACCAGTTGGATTCTGATTGGTTGCAATGTCATGTGACAAAGGTCATACATACATATTGTCAAATGGATAGACAGAAAAAATATATTGTGAGTCATCACTGACCAGTGGTCAATAGACATATAATAAAACATATCAGATTGACAATTAAAGCAGACATCATGTGACTACATATCACTTTCCGATTCTGACTTTGACATATTCTAGCGTGATTCTGATTGACAGTTATGCATTTG